TGACGGGACGTTCTTTCTCGACCCGCGCGGTTCTCAACCGGCAAACGTCCGCCGCCCGGGCCTCAACGCCCGACGAACGCGACCCCGTAGAAATTTTAAATTTCCATGCGAAAATTAACACCGGACGTGTACACGTGGCTAATGGTACCGTGGATGGTACGCGGATGGCCTTTCTCTCGTTCCAATAAACAAAAAAAAGACTGTCCGTTCGTTACACGGATAACGAACGGCGAGAGGCCCGCGACAAAACGCCACTGGCCGCCGCTGGCGGAATAATGCGAGTCCGGAACGACGAGTTTTACTCGAGTTTAGTATTTTATACGTCGATACGCTAATTTTAAAACGCATACTCTGTAGACACACAGCACGGAACTTTTTTTCAGTTTTTTCACGCTCTCCCGGAACGTATTGCGACGGGACGTGACACACGGTCATTGTCAATAGCGTTTTAAACGTTTTGCCGTAAGTTAATCGAAAAAGAAAAACCGTCTGTAGTGTTCATTACGAAACGAATTTCGTGACCGATATTTACCGAGCGTATAAATTTGTATTTCGCACAGTTTTTGCTAATTGCGTTCGTATGGTATTTGTATACATTACCGGCTTTCCTACCCGGCGTTGCCCGCGCCCGGAGAAATTGCATTAATTTTAATATAAATCAATTAGTTTAACGCCGTAAATTACAAATACAAATACATAAATAATATAAAATGTGAATATCCCATACTTAACGTTGTAAACGTGAAAGTTTGTTTTGGATGTTTGTTATCCCTCACGGCAAAACTGTTGAACGGATTAAGCTGAAACTTTGCACGGACGCAATTCTAGACCTGCAGAAATGACATACCTATAGAATAATATTTTGCCCGTAATGCAACTCCTAAAGGACGGCCGACACTGGGTTGTTGGTATTTTTGGTAAGAAAATCGAATTATTTTTGTCGATTTGTCGTTTACCTCGGCGATGAAAAAAAAAAAGTTAAAACAAACCAAAATATAAAATAACGGCCGTACACGCGAATGTAAATCTAGCAATAGATTCACATTTTCTGGGTGTGTAAATTTGAATTTTCTACGGTTTTTGTCCTTTGCGTTTGTGTATTTTATAGATTATATGCAATTTATGCGTTTGTATTTATAATTTACGAGTATATAGTGTGTGACAATAAACAACTTTACTCATATTACGATGCCAATCTAATTTATGAATATTAAATATGAATAATTGTTAGTTGAAGGCGGTGCCCGTAACTGGACGTTGGTAAGATGAGCGGCTGCCAAGCAATTTTAAAGGGGCAAAATTTGAATTGATCAAATTGCAATTTGATCAATTTTTAGTATAGGTAATAAAATGTATTATTTTACATTTTATCAAGCACCAAAATGCTTAATTGCTCGTTCTCGTTAATTATTTTAATTCGTGTTAAAATCAAAAGCCTGTGTAAAAATTGCGTAATGATTGAAATTGTTGATGTTTATTGATTAATGAATATGTTTCACCGTTTTCCAATTATTACTTTTGAACATATAGCGAATATACGTTTCGTTTGATTTTCGAGTAAATTGATGAATATTCTCTTTTCGTTTTTCGAATTTCCTAGGGATTTTCATAGTAAATGGGAAAAACCGAAAATAATGCATTTACAATTTTGAATTTTGTTTTTTTTTTTGTTTTGTTATGATAAAAGGTTCATTATAAATTGTACTTAGTGGCCAACGGGAAAAAAATGAGTTTAATGTAATATATATATATATATATATTTTTTGTATAATGTTACATTAATTTTTTTACGAAAAAGTATAAAATGTTCATAAATACCATACTATTCAAACTGTATTGCTCTTTAATTTAGGTATTTATAGTATACATATATATATATATATATATTAATTATTACAATTTGTCAATAAAAAATAAAAAAAAAACATTGTATTTATTAATATTGATATCGTCGGCGTGTAAATTTATTATTTCATGTTTGGCGAAATGTTATTATACCGCGCGGGTATATTATAATAACAGAATTCGAAACCGAATGAATAATTATACGGATAGTTAACAATAACTCACATTGCGATTTGCGCCAGATTGTGGAATTTCGGGTTTCCGTGTCCGTGTTAGTTAATGTCCACGAACGATTCGTCTGAATCCGTATCGACCGGAACTGTGGTGGTTGTTTTTATTTTGCGGTTCGAGAAACTTTAAAATCGAACTCATTTTGAATTTTTCTAATCGCGTTTAATAATTACGATGGACAACAAGATATTATGTTTTTAGCAGCGTCGACGTGTGGTTTATATTGAACAATGAAATCTCTAAAATTTTCTGTATTCTAAATTATATGGGCCATTGGGAATTTCCGGTAATATATTGGTGGCGACGATAGTTTATCGCACTCGGAAAACTTTTAGATAACTAATAATTACAAATCGTTATTGTATTATATTATTATTATTATTATTAACAAATAACTAATAATTTTTTTTTTAAATTTATTTATTCGAATTTATAGGTCGGATAATTTAATTTTTTTTTGTCTGATATTTCGGTGGAGGGAGGGGGGGGAGGTGTTTGAACTCCGAGTTTCCCATCCCCCACGTTCACCCCTGGCAATGGTTTACTGTCGATTACAGATATACATCGAGTTCCCCTATGGATCACATCTTCCCAACTTCCCGCCTACAACAGTGACTGCACACCCACGTACGGGGTATGCGTGTCTTTTTTAATTTGATTACTATAGTAAAATTTACCACCGAATCATTATAATCTGCATTCAAACACCGATAACCGTAGTCGCATTAGCAAGAATAACAGGTTACAATAATTATAATAATAATCATCCTAATAGTAAGAATATTCATGAATAATAATAATAAGGCATACGAGCAGTAATGAGCATATTAATAATGTTTGTGTACAACAATAATAAGTGGCGTACAATCAACAAACCATCAATAACAGCAATCGTTAACAAATATCAAAATTAGCATTTTAATAAGATAATCAACAATAATCATAATCATAATTTTAATAAGAATTGTAACGAGCATTTTAATAACAATAATCGAAACAACATCGTAGTAATCATTAATACTTTTAATAACGTTAATCAACAATAATAATAATAATAATAATCAGCGTACTTAATAACAACTGTAAATCATAATAATAATCATCGCCGAATATTGTAATCGGTATTTTAATAAAACAGCCGACATTAAACATAATCATAATTTTAATAAGGGTAATGATAATAATAATAATAATAATAGTAATGGTCGCATTACAAATCATAATCATAATCGGCATTTTACTAAGAAGTATAATAGGTAACAATGAAAACGATGATAGTTTAAATAATAATTATAATTATGTTACAAATAACAATTGTATTGTGTTATTATTACGATCATTGAAATATGCTGATTATTATTATTATTATTATTATTGGCGATTATGATTTTTAAAGACCTCATTATTGCCGTGCTTATTTTTATTGTCCTTCTTAAAACCGCGATTACGATTATTATTGGTTATTTTATTAAAACGCCGATTACGGTACGCCGATTATCGTTATATTATTAAAAGCGTTGGCGATTGTCACGACGCTGATTCGATTATTGTTATTAAAACGTTCATTTGTTATCAATAGTTAACTTGTAATTTATCGTACGATGATTGTTGTTATTGATCGGAGTTCGGTCGACAGCGTTGCTTTGTCAACAGTTTATAAGTCATGTTACGGTAAAATAATCAAATACGCATTGCATATCCTCATATTCCGTAGCGTACAACTTCGAATAATACGATACATATTGTAGTACAACAATTCTTATATGTATTTGTTTGTTTTTTTAAATATAGTAAATTTTGGTTAAAAACTGAAAGTATAATTATTTTTTTTTTAATATTATAATATTTGTTTTGTGTTATATTTACCGGTGTCTCGTGGTAATACAAGATAGCGTATTCCAATAGTAAATTTGATAACCTTAATTTTGATTTAATGTAAAAAAAAAAAAAAAAAAATATGTCTTCGCGTATCATCTACGAGCTTTTCGCGTATGGTTCCTGGTTCGAAACCGCTGCCGTAGATGATACGACCGTGGCTATAATAAACGGATGAGCTCGAACTTGGAAATCGCAGTTTCGTTTGCGGGAGGAGTGTACATTTAGCTTTGTATACCCCTAAATACCTCCCGAATGAAGCTAGGGAGATGACATTTTGTGTATAACGCACGGTAAAAACATCAAAGATGCGTTTTTCGGGGGTTTCCAATATTCCATCTATATTATCGTTACCGGAATGATAAACAGAATACGTTTTATACCCAAAAGAGGGGCGGGGTAGTAGAGCGTGATATATGGCGGCGAGAGGGGTCGAGTGGATATACGTAGTTAATGGCCGTCTAATGAATACAAACCATTAATAAATACAAATTTAATTTAATTAAGTACATAATACATTAATATCCGCAGTGGAAAAACTCTGGTTGCCAGATTTTAGAATTATAGTTTAGACCCGAGTGATCTGTGCCGACATTCGTTTTTATCAGTACTCTAATCCCACCAACAGTCAGTGGTCAAATTCGAGTCGAATCTTTAAGCATTTCAATTGCCGATAAATTATAAATTATTATTGTACTAATAGGACGAATGTTAACGTTTTGTAAATCTATAAGGCGTAATTTTGTATTTATTTATTTTTTCCGGGTACACTAAAGCGCTCGTCTTCGTAACCCGACGACGAATTAAAAACTACAAACACTTCGTTCAATATTTTCAATTACGAGCGGACGAGCAATTTTTTTTTAGTGCGCACATCTTGACAATCGCACGGCATAACCGCGTGGATATTTAGTAGATTATTTTTTTTTTTTTTAGAGCGCATAATTCCCTTATAGCACATAATTATCCGCCTGGCAACGATAACTGCACATTTAAACATCAAATACGTTCGAAAACACCCCTCGAGCACCCGGACGTTGTTCACGATCTCACAGCCGACCGTGTTCGGCGCGAAATCGCCCGTGACGAACGGTTTGGTCACGTCCCGGCTGTACACCGCGGGCGCGGAATCGTACCCGAAGAACAGCGCGGTGCCGCCGTCCGTGCCCAGAATCGCCCGAAACCCGAAAACCTGGCGTTACACTCGCGCGGCCGCCTAATACCGCCGTCGACGCCGTTACCATTTTGTCCGGTTTGGCGCCCAAGTCGGCGACGTTGCCGGCCGAACCCGCGCGCATGTATTCGGTCCGGACCGCGAACACGTTGGTCCGGGACGGGCGCGTGACGATTAGCGACGACGGGCCGCCGCCCGCGGACCGGACGCCGCGTCTCGCGCGGTGGGCCGCCAGCTCTTCGGGCAACACCGGCCGCGCGCCCTTCGACCGGGCCACGTCGTACGCGATCACCGCCCGGCGGGCCGCGTCCGACACGTACACGTAGCGTTTGCCGTCCGCGATGTCGTAGTCCACGGCCAGGTACTGGAGCCGGCTCAACGGGTTCGTCAGAACGGTCGGATCGATTTTCTTGACGAGCCGACGGCGACGGCTGTTTATAATGAATGCGTGCGGGCCCGTAGTCGGGTCGAAGACGAAGGAGGAGAAAAAGACGTGGGTCCCGAAAAAGATCAGATTGTCGAGGAGAAAAAACGTGTCGAGTGCAACTCGACACGGTTTTTTTTTTTTTAATTGCGCCGCGGATTCGGTCTAATGCGGGCGTCGGGTAACACGCCGCCTATTACGGACGAAACCGCCCAGAAACGACCCTTCTCTTTTCGCCCAAAAAAATGATAAATTCGTTTTCTCTTTTCGTCCGAATTAAATACCGTCGTTTTATGTTCAACATTTCGGGAACCGTTCAGCGAAATCCGATCCACGTATTTCACACTGCGTGTATACGACACGTTTTATTTAAGCCATTTGACATTACCCGGAGAGTTATTTTGAACGTATAAACTTGTTACGCGGACAATGTTGTGCACCTGAATTTACAGTCGGGTTTCGGTCGTAACAATACGCGTTAATATCCACGATTAGGTACGTAACTGCGTAATGCGTATTTATTGTTATCGTCATTTCGTTCGTTCGAAATATGCGACCGATACGGGTTTCGTTTCTACGCTTTTTGTAAAATTAGTTGATAGGTTTTTTTTTTTTTTACGGAGCTCTTAGAAAGTAAACGAGGAGGCCGTACGGCGCTCCACGATAGTTTTGAATATAATTACGGTTTAACGAAAAATAATGCGGAATCCACTCGGAATCTTTTCGTCTGAATTTCGATTGAAATCGGTACGTTAACGTTTCCGGAAAACACATCGGATCTACGGTTGAAACACCGGCGTTCTCATATGGGATATCAAAGTCGGTCTCGCCGCGGCACCCCGAACGCCGTGAAAGCACTCGGAAACATCGGTGTGGCCGTTGGACGCGTGGATTAAACCCGACAATGTCGAAAATCATCGGAGTTCGAATACGTGGCAAAATCGAACCGAAAAAACGAGACGAGCGCGTCTCTCGGCGGACGTACGCGTTTTTCGCTCCGGTCCGCGGAGTCTGAGCTCCGAGCGCAAACGCGCGTCCACGGCGAATTCTCGGGGTGCTCGGGCCGTCCGTTTTTTCGCCCCGACGGCCGTGCGGCGCTACCGAAAGTCTAAATCGCGAAAATTAATACGTCGCCGTTTCGTCACCGCCGCCGCCGCCGTCTTATCCGCGAAGGATAATTTAATACGACGGCGGACGTTGCGAAAAATAATCCGACGACGAGCCGCGCGCGAACCCCGGGACCGCTGATCCGATTACGGGCATCAAGGCGCGCACAATATATTGCGCAGAAGGCGGCGCAGCGCCGAAGCCGCGTCGTTTACATTCCGTCCGGGCGTCGCCTGTGCGCCCGACGTCCGGCGACATCGCCGCGCTCGCCGACGGTGTCCCGCCGTTCCGCGGTAGACGACGGCCGCGACGAAACGGCCCTCGCGGCGTACGCCCTCGCCTACCCACCCGGTTTCCGGTGCGCCGACCCGTTGCCCCCGAACGGGCCGTTACCGACGGTCCCCGGTCGGCCCGCTTTCACCGCGGCCGTGACGCGCGCGCGATCCGTTTTCGGCGATAACATTTATTCGCCGCGCCCGCCGACCATGCTGCCGGCGTACCGCCGTACGTGCGATCCGCCGCGATCCGTCTCGGAAGTCTGCGTTCTGCGGCACACATACGTGCGCATGCGTAACGACGCAACGCGTAACGCTCGTTACGGATTTTTCGTACATCGACGCGGGCTGCGAAATCCGAGGCGAAACGAGCGAACGCGTCACGTTTATACACACGCACACACACACACACGCGTTAGACCCTTTCTTGACGGCGCCGCCTCGTCTCGCCGCGGACCCGGTTCTCCGTTCTTCTCGTTTCAATGTTCTCGTGGCTGTGCAACTGTTACGGCCACCTTGCCTCGTCGTTTCTTCCGAATACCAAACACGGTCTTTTCCTTCCTTCGCGTCCGCCCTTCGAGCGTGTCCGTCGCGCACGGGTTATGCGTCGATAAGTGGCCGCACATTTTTTCCACCTCATTCCCGTATCTAATCCCTGGCGGAATCCTTTTCGCGCGCACTCGTCTTATACATTACTTACCGTTCCTGTCTAACCGGCTTTCGATAATCTTCTCCGCGTCCACATCTCCGTGGCTTCCGATTTCTTTCCGTCTTGTCCGTCCGCAGTCCACGTTTCACGGACCGCATGGCAATACGCTCCGTTACGCATACTATTCGGCGGAGTTTATCTATAACGCATCAATCGAACCTGCGCGGACGGGCTTACCAAAAGTAGTTTCGCGGTTGCGCGTCATTTCGCGACTATACAGACCGCCGCGGTCAACCGCAACGGTGATACGCGCGCACGCCTTTTACGCGGTAGAATATTATTTTCGGGTAACGGCCGCGGGTCTCGGTATCCGGTTGTCCGGCCGTTGTCTTGTTGCGCGAGACTGTCTAGTCAAAACCGCGTGGTGTCGCGTTGAGCAGCGACGAGCAGACGGCGGTGGTGGCGCGCGAGGGTTTCTTCCGCCGTGAAACGTTTCAGCAGAACGGCAAAATCCACGTACAATCCAAGTTCGGAAAGATCAGTAGCCGTGACTAAAACTACCGGGCGGTCCTCGCTCCTCAGCGTTATCACGTTCGTTAACAAGTACCGCGCGTACACCCAGCCGCCCGTGTCGGGCACGTAACACGCGCTTCATAGGATACCCGCGCACGCTGCTACTGCCGGTGAACCGGAGCTTCCGGTCACCGGGGACCGAGCGCTGTTAGATCGAGAGAGAATTCCCTCCGTGCGGCGAAATTCTAATTTAAATTTTACGAAACGGGAGGGGGGGGAATTTCGTAACTTTGAAAGAGAAATTTCCATATAATATTTCAACAAAAATGTGTGTACGACATTGTTCAAAAGTACATGAGATCTGGTGCGTTTGATTAAAAATCGTACGTTTAAACGTCGACGAGGTAACTGAATTATTAATGAAACGCGTTGGTTGATAAATTCATAAGAATCGTTTTTCCAATATCCACGTAATGCGCAGTTTTTCGGGAGGCGAAATTTCGTAAAGGGAAATTTCTTTGGCCGGGACTGTATTAGCCGCTATTCAGGACTCCCGGGGCGCTCTGGTGCAGCGGGCGCGCGCCTCTCGGCGGCCGACCGTGCGTCCGTACCGCGGGCCGAAAAACGCCGGTAACGTTCATCTCCTTGTTCTTCGCGAACGCCGGCCGGTCGCCGTACCGTTTTCCGGCGCGGTTCAAACCGCGGTACGACGACCCGGCCGTTCATACACGTCGCTACCCGCCCGAAACCTAACGCGCGTCGCACAGCGGCACGTCCGGTTGACCAATGCGCGACGACACCCCGACACTGTCGTACCACGGCGACCGTAACAACGAGAGTTCGGTCGTTCCCGCGTGGGGGGATACGTCAATACGGTGAAAATCGCGAGGGGCCCGCGGCACGGCCGTACACGCGTTACTGATAATACGTCGAAATCGGTATTGTGCGAGTTCGCACCTTCCGAGTGGTCAGGTCGAAGGCCCACACGGCGGCCGGCCCCGTCTTCCGCGGCCCGGCGTCCGTGTCCGACGTCTGCACGACGCCCGTGTCCAACACCCACAGCGCGCCCAGCGGGTCCACGCACAAGTCGACGGCGTTCTGCACGCCGCCCGGTTTTCCTTGTTCCTGAACCGACAGACACGGGTAAGGGCGTCATCCGGGCGTCGCGCGTGTCGGCCAACAGGCACGTGACGGCCACCGTGGCCGGGACGCCGGCACGAACCCTGCGGTGCGCCGCGAAATAAATACAAGCTGAACGTCCGCCGCCGCCAAGCCCGGATAAAGAGGGGGGGGGTGGGAGTATCCGGGGAGGGCTATGCCCCCCTTCCCACCCGGCCGCCAGATTCCCGGGGGGCCTGAGTTTTCTCACTTCGATATTTTTATATTCGTCCGACGTTGACTTGTTCGCGTTGTTAAGTAGAAACTGTACGCGGCTAGTAACTTCGATAAAAACGGTGTATTTATTTATTCGAGCAACAGCGGTGGCTTTCGAACCGACACCCATACGACTGGTGCACTGTTGATTTATCGTTGAATCGGTTTTCTTTCGCTACAGCGCCTGTTGGTTAGTGACCGTTTTCGAACATTTTACGCAATGGCGTGGAGAACTTTGGCCCCGGGGTCTCTAAAACGTCCCGATCCGGGCCCGGTACGATCGACAACAATCGCCTACCTGGGATAGGCCGAGTACAGGCGGTCCCCGTGTATCAGCCCCCTGAGCGCCATGTTGTTTCTGGGCACGTACCGGCCCTCGTCCCGGAGCGGCCTGTCCGTCGTGTCGCACTCGAACAGGTATCCGCACAGCGCCAGCCACACGATGACGACGGCCAACGTGACGACCGTTTATTTCCGTCGGGTAGTTATCGACAGAGCAAAACAAAAATCAAAAATAACGAAGTGAAACATTCGCCGGGCGTCTATTTTTCACCCCGTCGCCATACGCGCCGGAAATATGATAATAATAATTCGAAAAGCGCGCGGAACGTGGTGAAAACGGTTTTTTACGACGATTCCGGCGAGCGCACATGCACGCGTACATATTGAGCGCAGTACGTGCGCTTTAACGAGGTTCGTTTATGTGTATATAGAACGTACGGTTTTCTCGATACGTGTTTTCGCGTGTTTATACAATAACTGCGCATATTATTTTCGTTATTATCGACACGCGTCTCCCCCCGTCCGCCCATCGCCCGTCGTCGTCGTCGTCGTCGTTGTCCTTCGTTAGTACGAAATCCAAGAAAACCGTTTTCGGAGAGCGCGCGCGAGAGAAAAATATTAAAAACGAATAAATACCGATTCCCCGACGATTTTTCCACCGACCTTGGGTTTAACGACCTTTTTCCTTATTTCGCTCTCGGTTTCTCGTCGTACGACGCGCGAGTCGCACGCTCGCACGCACGCGAAACACCGTCGAAATTCCGTTTCGCACGTGTAAATTAACGAAATCACGTTGTTTATACGGTTGTTAAACGTTTTAATGTTTAATATTTATGGTTTGAGACCGGGCCGGGGAAATTACGCTGTCGAAATATCGTACGGACAGAACGGCATTGTTTACCCGCGGCATTGGACGCCCGGATTTCGCGGCGTTGGTCGCCCGGGGGGGTTTTTTTTTTTTTTTTTTGCTGTCCGTTCTCATTCACGCCCGACCGAAATTATTCAAACGCGCGCGTCGTCTGGTACGGATTTCGTAAACACAATTATAATAATAATAACAATGATAATGATAATGCGCGAAATCAACTCGCGTGTAATGGCCCCGGGAGTCGCGGGGCCGCGTATCCGCCGTCGCCGTGCCGCGCGCGCGCGCGGTGGGCGGGTCTCTCCCGGTCTTCGGATTGCGCGCGTTGGCCCCTGGGCATTATGATTTATGCGTTTCAGCGCGCACCGTGTGCGATTATCGCGATATTCCCGACGAACGGCCCGCCGGACCGACCGACGAGCGAAAACAAATTATTCCGTTTCGCCTCCGGCCGTCCGGCGCGCCGCGGGTCCGGGTTTTCGTGACGCGACGCGATGTGCGCATAGGTAGCAGCCGTGCTATACGGACAGCGCGTGACAACACTGTCCGCGAAGACCTTTAGAGAAACTGACCGTTATCGGGGGGGGNGGGGGGGGGGGGGGGGTGGACCGATGAGACGCGGTGACGCGGAGAGAATGATCGAAGGGCCCGTGCCACGGCTGGCTCTGCGGGGCGACGTACTAGAAAAAAAAAAAAAAAGGAAAAAAGAAAAAAAGTCGGCGCGTACATTAACCTTGGTCCGCCTATACGACCCGCGTCAATAGTGACAGAGACGGAGAGCCAGCGATGGCGTAATCGCGATGAGGGAAATGGAGAGTGGGGGAGAGTCTAATCCCTCCCGTTGGCCTTTCTTTTTTTTTTTTTTTTATAAATAGACCATCGAATCTAGGTCGAATCTAAATTTAGGGCGGCGGCAACTCGAAGTATTTTTTTACCTTGAATCGCCGATACAATTTTCCACTGGACCCGAAAATACCCCCCCCCCCCACCCCCGACACTGCTACAAATGTATTGGAATTTGTTAATAAAATTCGTCCAAATTTATCAAATTTCCGAAAACTAAAATTCATTTAATGACTAGTTTTGTGAAAACATAATAATTTGTATTATATTTCTTATTTCTGAACGCCCATGGCCCTCTCACGCGGTTTTTTGTTTTGTAAATCGCGTGATTCAAATACACCTTAGGTCGAACTGTTGAAAATTAGAGGAAAGGTACGCATAAAAAGATTAAATTAAAAGCTTCATAAAGATTATGACGTTCGGGGCTTCCTAAACGCGTTCCTCGGGTACTAGGCGACCTATGGGTGTAGACGACGAAACGAACGCGGTCTTCGAAAAGCGGTCGCTTCTCGGTTTGTTTAAGATTTAGTGGTGGGCGGGTGTTCAATATTTACCTAATTAGGTAAGTATTTATACTCGTTTATTGCGTAAAAATATTGGGATACATGGGAAATATTAAAAAATATTGGTGGGCGGTTACTGAGTTGATTATTTGTGGTTTTGGGGTTTTTCTCGGGGTTCGTTTCGCCACTGGTCCGAGGTATGGAGAACGGCCGGCCCATATTATATTTATATGCCTGTGGTGATACTACCGCGGTATCGAGAGGTACCGGCTCGGTGTCGGGCGATCAGTGACTTCAAAAGTTCAAAGTTTATGCGTATCGGTACGTTTAACGCTGTTTAGGTCGGAAAACTGCATATTATTATAAATTATTTATAATATTATATGGGTACGAATAACGAGTACATATATTTTTTATTCGAATAACAAACATATTGTTATTTATTATGCAGACCGTGTTGTGACCGTAGTTGCGGTCTACATAATATCACTTAACAATAACCTAGTGGCAAAGGTCATGAGTGATTAGGGGTTCAAAGAATATAATTAATATTTTAATAAAAGTTATTATCAAAGTTATCATCGAGAGAATCGAAGATAACTTTATATACAAGCTACTTGTGACCAGTGTTAACGTATGGCTGTGAGATATGGGCTACTACGAAATGTGACCACTCCAAATTAAGTACAACGGAGAGAAAAGCGCTCAGAAAAATATTTGGCCCAGTGTATAGTATACAGAAACGAGAATGTACGAAAGAATACACGCTTGAATAAATAAGAATGACTTGCTAAATATGTATGGAAGACCGAAATATGTATTATCGTACAGTAGAAGCAAATGGATAGAATGGGGCTGGCCACGCTTGAAGGGCAGAACGGGTCACAGAATGTAGAATTGCGGGGAAAAGACCTATAGAAAGGCTCCGAACAAGACGGAAGGATGCAGTAGAGAAAGATCTAGCAGTTATCCACGAAAATACGCAATTAGAGGATGCGAATGGCGGGGACCGGTGGAATGATTGACAGCGATTGGTCTGCATGGTCCGCTAAGCTGTTAAGAAGAAAAAGAAGAATATAATATTGTCGACAATGGACCACTATCCAACCGAACTCCGCTCAGAATCGTTTTTCCGTTAGCAACGGTTCGTTCCAACTTCTACAGACATGCGTTAAACTGCCCACAACAGTAGCTGCTCCCGTCCCCGTTGTTCCGTGACGGCTTTTTAAAAATATTCACGTCTCGCGCAATCGGAATCTTCCGATCGGTTCTTTCGATTGGCCGATCGGATATTACGCGAAGTCCTACAACCGAGACGTATATAATTAAATTCGATTACGCCGCATAATATTCGTTCCAAATACCCAGGAAATGATACCACGGTGTCCGGGTTAGCGAATCGCTGGCTAATTGCAATACGCTGCAGTATTGTGCTACCGGGAAATGTTGTTTGTCGCGTTGTATTGTAATGCCATGCAACGATTTCGTGCTCGGCGCAATGTTTCGCCCGGGGGTACGTCTTGGGCAGAACGAACGGTCGGGCCGACCTAACCTAACTCGACGGTCCCGACCGAGGACGGCGACACACGAGAATAATCGAAGCAAGCGAAAGTTCAACGATATTAAATAATAAATAATACTTATTTTTTTATTTTTCGCCGTGCGTATCCGGGTGTTGTTGAGCAACGTCGGCCGTCGCGCAGCGCGGAAAATATGCGCGAACCGGTTTTTGAAAAAAAAATTGCGCCGGTATTTTCAAAGGGCGTCGTGGCGATTTTCGCGACAGCGGTCGCGTTCGGCGTAACGACATCGTTACAAAAACGGGAAATTATAAAATGGGATTTTTATTTTTTTTTTTTATTTTTTCATATTCTAAATGTCATAAACTTTAAAGAAATTCGCTACACCGGTTTATCGTTAATGCGACGCGGACGAGCGTAATCCGGAAATCTGGAGAATATTGTTTACCAAAACAAAAAAAAAAAAAAATTGCGACTAATTTCCCCGTGGTTTTTTTTTTATTTAAAGTTTTAAAAAATCGTGTTCTGGGCCGGGCCGCCACAGTACAGTTACTGCGGTGAATTGAATTCGTTGACAGGTCGGCGAAGACCGAAGTCCGTCTGATTGTCACATCGGATCGCTTTTCGAGAGTGAAATAACGCGTTCGTACGGTTTTCGTTTACATCGTTACGTTAAAACAATATTATAATACTGTGTATTATCATTTGTTCAGATTCTGAGCGGAGCGAAGTGGCTTATGGCTTCACAAAGATGTTTATTATTGTTATTTTTTTTTTCTGTGAACAACTTTTCTACCAGAGAACTTGCTCCGATTTTTCACGTGTAGCCCGTTTTCCGAAAGTAAATCGCAGAGGTACTTTACACTGGTCGTTTTTCGATTTTCTCGTGAGTTTTCTCATTAAACGCGAAAAACCGAAAGAAAAAAAAAAACCGGAAAAACGTACGAAATATCTTATATATAAAATTCTCGTGTCACGTGTTTGTGGTCGCGCTCCTCCGAAACGGCACGACCGATTTTAATGATTTTTTTTTTTTCCGTATATTTGGTAGGTATGAGAATAGGTCGTAAAGTATTTTCCACCCTCTTACCACCACCCACTGTTTTTTAATCGCAAT